TTTGTTTTCTACTTGCTTTTTGTGCTAGACATTAATGTTGAAAACCAGTGAGAATAATTACACATACCACAACTCACACACGCAGACAGAGACAGAGACAAGACAGAGAAAGGTGGGAGGATCAGATTTTACTGCTAATTTGTTCCTACATATGTTTCTTGCTTACACCTATAAAGCTAATGAATTTTGTGAGTTATTTACACTAACACCCCCTGAGGTTTTTTGTGTGTTCACATAACACCCTGAGGTCCTATAAATTACATAAACACCCCCTCAGGTTTCAAAAATGGTTTCACATAACTCCTTAAATTAAAAAATTGTAAAAAAAATTTAAAACAAAAAACACCTAAAAATTGATGTAAAAGGACTTCTGCAAATACTAAATACCCTTCATGGTATTAGAATATTTTTTAATTTTATTATAAAAATAAAAAGAGGACGCCTCCATCTCATTTATCTCTGCATCTTCTAAGAGATTTAGAAGATCTGGAGGAGATGAAGCATTTTTTTTCTTGGTATGGGATGTGTATGATGCATCTGATTTGTAGGATTTTTTTCTTTATTTTTATTTTTATTGTAATAATGAGTAGGAATTAATATTCTAATACCATGAAGGGTATTTTAGTATTTGCAGAAGTCCTTTTACATCAATTTTTAGGTTTTTTTGAATTTATGGACTTATGTGAAACCATTTTGAAACCTAAGGGGGTGTTTGTGTAATTTCTAGGACCTCAGGGAGTATGTGAAAACACGAAAAACCTCAGGGGGTGTTTGTGTAAATAACTCTGAATTTTATTTATAATTTACATTTTAAAATGAAGGGGCCTCTCAATTGATTAAACATTTCCTCAAATTTGGGTCAAAGAAAAACCTCTGAGACTGCCGGAATCCAAGAGATGCATCGAGAGTCGTCTGCTTCAAGTTACTGGAGCCCCTACCCCTACCCCTTCCCCTTCCTCTTGTAGAAGTTTTACCTTTGCCAACTTCTGAAGAAGACGGCTTGGATGGGCCCTTGCGGCCTCTGGAAGTGGATTTTAAGCCCGTCATCTGTGTTGTATCTTCATCATCACTGAAGGAAACTGCACTTGCAGTTCCTGCAGCACTTGTACTTCTGAAATCCTACATGAAGAACGGAAGCTTAAAATGTAGATATTCGGCACATGTATGAACCCAAAAGATTCTAAAATGGAAGCTACATGGGATAACTGATGTGATTCACAGAAGCAGACTAAAATCAGAATTACCTCCCCAGATGGAGCAGTTGAGGTGAATGGAGAATTATTCTTAGAGTGTGCAGACCTTTCCTTGACACGTTCCTGCACATGTAAACGATATAATATAAATTATGGTCAATGTCAATTGGAAGTAACCCCTCCTTAATTGCCCTTGTGATGCTTAGGCCACAACAGGTTGAGAGAAGAATGTATTGTTCGTCTTCTCATCTATAAACTCCTTCTTTTACCGAACCTAGAAACCCCAAATTCCCAGACTTTTATGTTTATTTTCTTTTATATTGAAAATAGTTCCTTTTATTACCAATAAATTCCCAACCTTTTGAATCACGTATATATGCTTTTCCCACATCTAACAACTAAAGCCATAGACCTAAATGACGTTAGTGTAAGAGGTCTCAAGAGACTAACTACACATTTTGGAACTAACTGCCTCATTTCAACCCCAATGACAATCCCTAAGGACCCAACATAATTGTCCATGAAACTCTGACTAGAACAGGTATTACTTTACCACTAACTTGATGATAGAAAAATATATAGAAAGTAGTTATTCTTGCCTGCAAGCACTCTCCAACTTTAAGGACCAAATCTTGCTCTTTAAATGTCACAGTGTCTGGATCCTTAGAAATTTTGTTCTGTAGAATTATAAAAGTGAATTATCATTAGCAAAATCCAAAAGAAAATAAGTATATGACATTTTAAACATAGCAGGAAGTAATCATTTGAAAACAAAAGGAAAAGATCACTCGATCTACACAAGCTAGGTTTAAAATGTACTTACTCGAGTTTCTTCAAGATTGTATTTCAGGCAAGAATAGAAAGCCATCTTGTCATCCTTACTAACAAAATTATGTAATGCAACATCCAAATCATTGACAGGAAGGATCTCCATTTTCTGCATGATTAAATATCACCATGAGGGTTTTAACTTTTAACCTTAAAATAAAATGTACATGCTATAAGTAATTCCATTATCATTTTCAAAATTTGTTACATGACTTCCATATTACCAGTAATCCAAAACGGAAATCATATTTGGGAATTACTAAATCCTTGCTTATGCAAGCAAAAAAGAGAAAGGAGCCATGCTTATGAAACTTGCAGCAATGCCTTAGAATTTGGTGGTTGCTATTTGCAAATCACATTCTGTTTTTCACTGAAAATGTTTTGCCAGAAGTCAGTTAAAGTGTATGTTTCTGAGCAACTTGTGGAACTGTTTATTTGCAAGAAACTAACAAACTCTATTATGTATATAAACAATCTAGTGTTCCACTGGGTGAGATGTACAAGATGGCATGATATACGGGAATACATGCAGTGAAAAGGAAAGGAGGAAGACAACAGCTCATACCAGATTGTTTTCGGCAACTAAAGCCTCTATGTTTTGCTGATTTAATTCTTCTGGGCGAAGCCGTTCAGAATCATCAATTTTAGCTACAATACAAAGATCAGAATTACGTAATCGAATCTGTCAAATATATGAATGCTAAACATTTAATGGACATCAGCAGCAAAATTCTGATAGTAAGGAAATCCCTAGGTAAAAGATTCTACTGTCGAAGTGATACGAACACCAGAATCATAGCAACCCCAAAAAAAAAAAATCAAAACATTGAAATTCAACCACAAAGTACATAGCAAGGTCCAACTCCAATTGGAGTGCTCTGGTGCCCACACGTTTGGGTACCAGAAAATTTTATTGCTCCGAATGATTCTATCATTGGCTGCTGATCATCATCATTTAAGTCTAATGCTAATAACTTACCTGTTTCTCCATCTCTTTTAGTTGACTGAACTTTTCTTCGGAATTATAACATTACTTGGGGAAAAACAAAAATAGATAGCGTTCCACCTGATATGTATAATGTGAAATTCTGTTCAAAATCATATTAAGTTTCAATTTAAATATTAAATCTATTCAATATGTTAATAATGTAAACTTTCTTCCGTGGGGGGAAGAGAGGCGTCTTTACACTAGTTCTTTTATATGGATGAGATTCTTCATTTGCACCAGTCAGAAAAAAGCTGAGTAAGATGGAATCCAATTCCCTGAATATTCGACCCAGGCGTTCATCAAATAGTACTTAGATGATGCCTTACACGTACAAACTCGCAGTAGCAGCAGCCTCGTCTATAGAATCACAGTTTAAAAAAGAAAAGAGCAGAGCGCATGGAAACAATTGATTTTGAGCACCTTTTCGACTTAAAGGCTTGAAACAACCACCATCCCACCTCCTTCTTCCCTTTGAAAACAAATTAAAAACCATACAAAAGAAACGTTCGTCAAACAGTACTTGGATGATGCCTTACAAGTACAAGCTCACACTAGCAGCGGTCTCATCTATAGAATCACAGTTTTATAAAAAGAAAAGGGCAGAGCGCATGGAAACAATGACTTTGAGCACCTTTTCGACTTAGAGGCTTGAAACGACCACCATCCCACCCCCTTCGTCCCTTTAGACACAAATTAAAAACCATACAAAAGATTTTCACCAATTTAAACAATTTTGAAGAGTTGTCCTGAACAAATAAAGTAATGGACCAACCAACAAGCTTTGTAAGGTAGAAAGTAAGTAATTTAAGCAAAAAATTTAGCATCAGGTACAAATAAGAGTACAGGATATGAATGGAACTTCTCTAACATGGACAGAATTCTTTACAGTTCTATCAAATTTTATTACCATCACTTTGCTTTGACATATAACATAACAAAACTGTAGCATTAGTAAGCGAAAGACTTTAGACTGTTGACAAAACTAAGATTTAACTATTGGGATTGTGTTATATAATCGACCAATCAAGTCAATATGAAGAAAATCAATTGATGGAATTGAAAAGATGGTATAAAGTAAAAAAATTAACCAAGTCAAAATCTACTAGTGTGGTGAGTACCTTCGCTCCGGCCCTTTGTTGAAGCCTTTGAAAATATAAGAATGTCTTGTGGGTTTGCAACCTTAAAGTCATTAGAATAACAGTAATTTATTTTTCAAATGTGATACTCATAAAAATCAGCACTAGATTACTGATCTAGGATTAGTGGAGTGAAGTACCTTCCCCACATACTTCTGTCCAAATCTTTGAGGATTTATTGTCATAAACCCAGAATAGTCTACCTGCCAAATGAATGAGAAAAGTTAAATGGTCACTCTGGAAGGGGGTCAAGGACACATGAAAAAAATTATTTTTAAAAAAGATCCATATGCATGCAAATAATTTGTAAATTCGAAGGCAAGACAAGGGTCAGGAAGAAAACTAAGAGAGAGACGGGGATGCAGATATGAAGATCACCATCCGTCTTAAGTTTAAAATGGAAATATTACCTTTATGCGGACTAATGGAAGTTGGAGCCGTGATTGGCTAACAACATTTTTTCTACATTTCTCTATCAGAGAGTGGACCTATAGAAATTCAAAGCTGTATTATTAATATATATAGCATATGCATCAGGGGATATAACACAGGGAAAATAGAAAGGCAAAGGAAAGCAAAACAGTCCAATATTACTGGCCAATTGAACTTACCACTTTGTCTAAATGTTCAAGAATCGAATTTTGATCATTGGGATCAATTTCAGGTTCGTCCTTCAATACAATCTGTATTCAATAAACTTAGTTATTAGTCTTTAAAATAAACTTAGTTATCCTTCAATATAATGTAGACGAAGAGATAAACACTAAAACACCTCTGTGTACTCAAAAGGCCTCACTGACGTCAAAGGAATCTTGGTTGGACGATATTGATTCCCCTGCATAAAACTCTATCAGTATCCAACTCAGTTTGGAAATAAAAGGGATGAAAAGATGCTGCTTTCTGGAAAAATACATCTAGCATTGACTTATGGGCAACCTTAATTTCTAAAAGTAGCACATGCTTTGGCTTTGATTCTCCATCAATCAGAGATGTTGCAACTGAAGAACCAGGTTGTGTAATGTGAAATCCCATCCCTGGAACTTCCTGTCAAAAAAAGATCCATGTCCAGTTCTGTAAGGAACCCTCCCCAACGAAACCAAATATGCACCCAGACAAAGACCACTCACGCACAGACACACACGAGTTTGTATGCACAAGCACACACATGTGCATGTTGCATACATGGGAAAAAGCAATATTCATTAGTACCTGAGGGTCCACAAGGCATTCATGTTCGTGCCCCCACACCACAAAGTCCAGAAAACGTGGTAAAAAGTGCTCATTTATGGCATTTTTTGGGTTTGTCTTCACTCTGCAGAGAGAATTATAAGGTAACTTCATAGTTAGGAAGATTAACAACATAAGGTTTAAAACCAAATACATATATATAATATATGTATATATATCTCTCTCTCTCAGACAAACCTGTTCTGATGAAGCACCAGAATGTTGAACCAGTCTGACACTTGCAACCCTTCTTGAGATTCAGGTCTCATCCATTGTACAGCATGTGGTGTCTGAAATATGAATAATATACCTAACATATATGTGATTGCACTTGAAGCTTGCAAGCAAACAGCAGAAAGCAAATGCTCAACATAAAATACCTGAAACATTCTATTGAGTCTCTCATCTCTGATGTTCCCAAGACCATAGAGAGCCACAGCTGTTGCACCCTGCAATTCAGATGGAATTATGATCCATGCAACATAAAAACCTAAAACACTCTCAAGCCTGCTATTTATCATATCTTAAACTAACCTTCCTCATAAGGATAGGATACACAGTGATCTGACCAACACCAGAACCCCCAAGAACCATTTTCCCAAAATAGTTTACAAGATTGCAAGCTGAGAGAATATCAACAGCGGAGAGATTATCCTGTCAAAAGTCACAGCATTAAGAAATACAAATGCATGTACTAAGAACAACTATAGATAACACATTTCAATATACGCATGAGTGTACCAAAGAGGGGCTCCTTGCTATTTTTCTGGGAATAACAAAAATGTTGTTTCCAAAATAACTCTATTCTTCTAGATGGAGATAATTGGCAGCCCAACTCTCTCTCTCTCTCTCTCTCTCTCTCTCTAACTATGAGTTTATATATCAAGAAACAGTAAGTTTAAATTTTCTGACTAGGCTTATAAGTTTTTTTTATTTTAAAAAAGAAAGCTGATGAGACTTATAATTTGAATGCCATGGAAACCCCACCTATTACAACCAACAAACTTAACCAATGAGCTGTATAGGATAAAATAATAAAAATAAAAATTGCCAACATAATCTTACAACCATGGCTCTAATACTATTTCTCATCAGAAGACATTGATAATATAAAACACACAAAAGAAAAGGAAGTAAAAAGCAAATACACACACAATTTTACCAGAAAGAACACATACCACTCCAGCAGGATCATCATGATTTCCATGAATACTAAACACTGGCAAGCCAACATTGAAGTGAGGATCTTCATAATTTACATGGCCAAATCTGTTAGAACAAACATGCTGTTATAAACTGAAGGGTGCATTTCCGTATTATAATATATCTCTAAGATTTATACAAACGGGGGAGGTTTCTGATACAAACATAAATGCAAAAACACATTATAGTAAAAAGATAGAAGTTTTTAGTCCTAAATTCAATTGTGCAGGGACGTTTTGTTCCTATTGCACAACTCATAGCATATATAGGGTTCTGGAACCAAAGGTCAACTTAGACATATCATTTACAATAAAAAAATCCAGCTAAAAAACAAAGGTGCATTTGAGTCATTACGTATTTGCAAAATTCACAGTCTGGTCGCTAACAACTTGGAACTGCACTGGCTGATCGCTCATGCAATGACGGCGAAGAATCTCAATGGCCTTAACTAGAGTTGACCTTGAGGGCTTATTCTCATGGAACAAATCACCACCAAGAAGCACAAAATCCACCTGATAGTAGATAAATTTGAAATGTGTTTGTAAATATATTTGGTTCACAGAAAGTATAAGGAATAAAGCTTTGCAATACAGTATTTGTCCAAATGTGGACTCAAAATTGAAAGGAATTAAAGAAAGGGAAACAATGCACACTGGCAAAGCGCTATTGCAAAGCATGATACTACAAATACAGCTAGAAGGAAAACTTAGCTATTACATTCTTTTGTTCTGCTATTGAGCATATCTCATCAAATGCCTGGAAAGAATCATGCCGCCGTATTTCATCCTTCTCCATATAGCCCAGATGGCAATCCGTAGCAACAAGTATTCGAAGTGTATTACTAAAATCCTCCCTGAAAATTATTGCACTATACATAAGAACAGAAAAAACCTTTTTTTGAGCAAATATGAAAGGTCTGACAATGAAAAGTCCCCTATTTTATGGTTTTTTATATCAATTACGACATTTGGGGATGGGGAATTTAAACTTGGGATTCTTCTTCAGAGGGGAGGTGTGACTACCAACGGGAATATGCCCCGCCACCACATTCAAACTAGTGCATCTCATAGTAAACATAATAATATGGTATGTGACTAATCTTAGAAATGGCTTTTATAGAATATCTACTTGGTGTGTTCAACAAAAGTCCCCTCCAAAGAAAACATATTACTAGGTGCAAAGATAAAAAGAGAAAGGTTACCTTGATAAGTCACTCATACTGATAGTTGCAACTATTTAAACCTACAACATGTGCAAACCACAGAACTGTTATTGCTAATAAAACAAACAATAATCTTGCAATGACCCGATTACAATTAGTATTTTTCCAATGTGATTATTTCCACCAACCAAATTCAAATCAAAACCCAAAATAAAAAGAAGAAAAAAAGGCAATGGAAAGGAAATTTTTGAAATATCAATTTCAAGGAACGCATTTGCTAAAAGTATCAAAATGAATGAAAATTGAAACCATCATGCAATTTCCAATATAGAAAAAGAAAATTCAAAATGATCAGGTTAAGTAAGTAAAAAGCAAAATACAAAAACCCTAAAACAGGGTTTATCAGCACAAAAACACAAAATCAGAAAGACTAAAAGAGGAAGAAAAGTCAGAATAAAAATTGTGTGAAAAAACAAATGGAAACAAAAACCAATATACTAAAGTAAGCGAACGAATCCTGTCGTCAAACACCGAGATTTTTTTCACTTGAATTCCTTTCATTTTCCTGCTTTTTCTCGGAAAACAAACAGTCTACAGAGAGTGAGAGATGATTACCTGTGTTCAAGTTTTGTAAAATGTGACAGTGAGTGGGAATGCAAAAGCTGATTCAGCGAAGCTCGGCGATGGAAAAAGGGGACGGTGGCGGGGAATTTTGAAAGACGAGAGTGGAGGACAAAGGTACGTTGGCAAGGTGTTTTCTTTTTTTTCCTTTTTTTTTTTTGTCGGTCAACCATCATGTATCGAGAAGAAAAAGAAAAAGAAAATAAGTATTTCGGTACTATTGAAATTGCGTCCGACTTTTGCTTTTACATATTGGGCTGGGGTATTGGTTTTGGGTTGGGTGAAGCCAAGGGCAAGGACCAAGAATGTCAAGCGTAACCCATGATTTATGATTTTGTTTTTTAGAGAATGATTTATTATTTTGTTTCCTATTCTGTAGTGAGTTTTTAAAAAAAAAAAAAACGACCAATTTGTTTTGTAGGATATCAATTGCA